GTTGACCAGGATGGTCTCGATCTCTTGACCTCGTGATCCACCCGCCTCGGCCTCCCAAAGTGCTGGGATTACAGGCTTGAGCCACCGCGCCCGGCCTAGAAAAAGAAAATTTTACCACAGTCCCACTATCCAGGATAACTACTGTGAATATACTAATTTTTTGTGAACTTATTTGTAGTAACATGATTGAAGTAACACTGTGAACATGGTGAAGTGTTAACAAGCAACACTCTGGATCTATTTATGCACTTTGTTATGATAGCTTCTTTTCCCTGTGTGATTCAGAATTCTCTGAAAGTATACTTTTTCTTTTCCTTTTTTTTTTTGAGACAGGGTCTCACTGTGTTGACCAGGCTGGTCTTGAACTCCTGGGCCGCAGTAATCCTTCTACCTCAGCCTCCTAAGTAGCTGATATTTCAGGCACACACCACTGTGCCTGGCTTGGAAGCGTAATTTTTGATGCTAGCCTAGCATTTCACTGTACAGATGTATCAACATTTGTGACATGGAGTCGTGGCCCATGTCTGTAGTCCTAGCACTTTGGGTGGCTGAGCAGGAGCAGCTCTTGAACCCAGGAGTCTGCGACCAGTCTGGGCAACACAGTGAGAACCATGCCAGCCATGGGGGCGTGAACCTGTAGTCCCAGCTACTTGGAAGGCTGAGGTGGGAGGATCGCTTGAGCCCAGGGGTTGGAAGCTTCAGTGAGGCATGATAGAAATACTGCACTCCAGCCTAAATGACAAGGCGAAACTTTGTCTCAAAGAAAAAAAACCCCAAACCATTTACTTACTCATTTTCACCTGTAGTTTTTGTTGTGTATATATAACTGCAATGATAACTCTGAACATATTTTGAAACCCATGTATCCACAAATATCCCCCCACTTCCTGAGACAAGGTGAGGAGTTTTCCTCTCCTAAAATGGAGCAAGACTCCTTCACAGGCCTCTAACCTGGAATAGCCCTGCAAGACTCTAGTGTTGTTACCAGGTGACACCTAAGCACCCTGGTGATGCTTTCTGTTCCCTCTTCCCTTCAGGAACATTGTTCCCTGGCTTAAGAAGTACGGGACCAACCCCAGCAATGGAGAGGTAGGTGGCTGTGCAGGAGTTTCAGTGATGGTGGTGAAAGCCATCTTCTCGCCTCTCCTGTTCTGGTCATGTTCATGAACACAGGAACATGGGAGAGAAGCATTCATGGGGCCCAGTGAGGAGGAACAGTCTTCCCCTCCTCTCCCCACACCCGTTCCTATACATAAACGCTTCCTGCCTGTACACATATGTATATGTGCATATCTTTTCTCAGACCATAGCTGTGATCCAGCATGACCTCATGTTACTATATCTGCAGAGACCTTGTATCCAAGTAAGGCCACAGTTCCAGTGAGCATCAGTTTTGGGGGGACATTATTCGGCTTGGTCTTGAGGGAGAGCTCGTGTATTTTACCAGTGACCTTGCCCTTCCTGTTGGAGTTCCTTGCATTTATTCCTCCCCCTTTTTCCTGTGGCCTGGGGCAAGAGCTCAAACTGTGCAAATGACGTAGAAGGTCAGGACTTCAGCAGGTTCCCTGTGCTGGATCCACTGGGAAAGAGTTCCCTGGATAATACGCCCCTCCCTGCCAGGCCAGCAGGAGAAGCTGGCAGCCCATCTGTGCTGTCTCAGCTCTTCTGACCCTTATGACTTTCTGGGGACTGCAGGGGTCTGTGGATTCTTTCTAGATGGAGTTGGCACTCCTCCAAGGCTTTCCTGCTCTTGAAAATAAGGGAACTTGGCCAGGGGGCTGATTTTGAGTGTCCTTGGACCAGCTGCTAAAGCCTATGGCTTTTCTCTTTCAGATGCTTGGGTAGGGGGCTTGTGGGGGCTTGTGGCCTCACCTCCTTAGGGAGGGCAGTCTTTTCCTTGGTCTTTGTCACTTAAAGTCTGTGTTTTTGTGGCTCATGCCTGTAATCCCAGCACTTTGGGAGGCCGAGGTGGGCAGATCTCAAGGTCAGGAGATCGAGACCATCCTGGCCAACATCGTGAACCCCCATCTCTAATAAAAATACAAAAAAATGAGCTGGACATGGTGGTGCACGCCTGTAGTTCCAGCTACTCAGGAGGCTGAGGCAGGAGAATTGCTTGAACCTAGGAGGCGGAGATTGCAGTGAGTCGATACCGTGCCATTGCTCTGCAGCCTGGGCGACAGTGCAAAACTCCGTCTCAAAAAAAAAAAAAAGAGACTGTTTCTGTGATGTTTGCTGCTGGAGCCACATTGGATTCCAGGGGCTTTCCCCAGGATCCGTGCCCGAGTCTGGGAAGTCATCCTCTGTGTCTCTTCTCAGGAGTCCCTGCTGCCTGCCTATGCCCTGTGTGGCTGGGTGTCTGCCTCAGGGAGCAGCCCGGTGGCGAGGTGGGGTAGGTGGGGTAGGTGGGGTTTTCCTGTCCCCAGCTACACTCATGGCCTCTGCTGTCCCAGTGGGTGTTGTTTATTCAGTTGCAGCTGGGGTGCGTTTTGTTACTTTGGGTGTTTTGCTTCAAAGGTGCTCTTTTGGGTTCCCAAACTTGTTGATTGTGCTGGGCCCAACCCACAACACCTGATCTGGCAGTTAGCCACACTGTGAGGCGCTGCCATTTCTTTGTTCCAGGCGTCATATTGGGGTGAGTCTGCAGGGGTGCCCCACATGTCCTTATCCTGTGCCTGTGCCTCTCCCCTGGCGTGCTCTGGAAGGGGTCTTGCTGTGGGCTTGCTTGGATAGACCTATGGGCATCAGTAGAGCCTTGCTAGCCAAATCTCTGAGGAGAGTTGCTGGGCCAAGGGCTGGTTGGCCCATGTGACTTTTGGGGGCTCAGAAGGAGCCTGTTTTGTGGGGGGGGGGGTTCTCTCTACTCAGGTCCTATTCCTGAATAGGGACCCTGCTGGTCCTCTGATGGTCTCTTCCTTACCTATAGTGATGTAGGAAGGTGGGGGTAGTTAAATGACAAAGGAAGGAACGAAGGCAGTGGAGGAGTAGGTGTGGTCAGTTAGGCTGGCCTGCAGCAGGCAGGACCCACAGCGGGCAGGGAGGGCAGCACGAGGGCCTGCTGCCGTTTCAGGGCCAGCCCCAGGAGGCTCCTCCTGCATCTCCCCTGGGCCTGGGTAGGCAGAGCTGGGCCCAGCCCACACCAGCTAGCAGCAGCTGCTGGGATGTGGCCCCCAGTGAGGTGCTCCCCAGCGGCATATAGCTCTGACAGCCCCGCCCCCGGCAATTCCCACCTCTGATTGTCCAGATTTTGTTTTATGGGAAAGTTTGCTGTAGAAGAGCTGAACTGCAGACACACCACAGAAACTGAAAACATGACCCGCCACCAGGAGTGGGGGAAATAAGAAAAAAGAAAAAACATCCAGAAACAGAAAAATAGAGGGTCCCACCGTCCCAACACAACCAGTCTTAGCGTTGGAGTGCATTTCTTCCCTTTCTCCCCACTTTTAATGTGTTTTTTTTTTCTTAAATATTCATATGACAGAAAAATAAGGCAGACCCGTGTGTTGCCCCACTAGCTGAAGAAATACATTCTTTTTTTTTTTTTAGACAGAGTCTCACTCTGTTTCCGGCTGGAGGGCAGTGGTAGCTGGGACTACAGGCACCCGCCACCATGCCCAGCTATGTTTTGTATATTTACTAGAGACGGGATTTCACCATGTTGGCCAAGATGGTCTCAATCTCTTGACTTTGTGATCTGCCACCTCGGCTTCCCAAAGTGCTGCGATTATAGGCATGAGCCACTGCGCCTGGTGAAATATGTTCATTTTTTAATTTTAGAAATAATCTGTGCTCACCATAAAAATGTCCAAACCCTGCAGAACTATACCACTACCAAGCGGCCTTGTCTTTCAGCTTGGAATCACCCATGATGGCTCTTCTCAGAGAATGGTGGGGGTGCCACGTAAACACAACCGCCCGGTGCTATCCTGCAGCCCCCATGAGGTCCTTGCAGGGTCTTGGGGCCTTCCCTTTTGTTCAGAGCTGCCCAGTCGGCTGGTCAGAGACCATTTCAGCCCGTCTCTGTCTGACCCCAGTATCTCTGTGCATCAATCACTTATTCATTATCATTAATTATTAACTCTGCTTCTTCCAGAAGCTGGATGGGAGGTCCCTGATCAAGCTGAACTTTGCCAAGAACAGTGAGGGTGAGTGGAACCGTTGGGGCCAACTCTAGGTTTGGCTTGCTGACCCAAGCTCCTGGCTCTCACCAGGTCTCATATGGAATCAGTCATTCCTTTCTGACCAAGCTGGACACCTGCTTTTAGTCCTCAAAAGGTGTCACAAGATTTCTTCTCAAAGGTCTGTGTAGTTTTAGGCTGGGGATGGGAGGGGGCAGAACCTTGGGTGTTGGGAACTTCCCACAAAGGTGATTGGGCCATCGTGAGCTGCCAGTGGCCTTCATGGGCACAGTTGGAGCTGGAGGGCATGGGCCCCCTCTGGCTGAGGCTGTGGTCTGTTTGCTGTTGGAGGCAGAAGTTGCTCCGCGCTGGGAACCAGGGTGGCAGCTGGGGAGGGGATGTGGATGGTCTGGAGGGATTGGTCGGGTCGCTCTTGGGGTGGGCGTTTCCTCACCACAGCTCATAGGGCCTAGCCCAGCGCAGCCCAGCAGCTCCTGCTTCATATCCCTTACACACCCTCCGCTGCTCTTGTGGTCAGATGCTTGAATGAGGGGTGCAGTTCACCCCTGCCCAGTTACTGACCCTGTCCTAGATTCTAGCGCAGGTCTTCTGCCCTTGCATATCCCATGGTTTAGGGGTTGTCCGTGCTCACTGGGTGCATGTGTTCCAGGGAGATGCTGTAGCACGTGAGGCCATGGCCCTTTTGCCCCACTTGTCTGAGCCCAGAGCCCGGTCCCTAGCTGGTGCAGCATTCGCAGGTGAATGAATGGGTGAACTTCAGCAGGTCATTGACAAAGGTGGAGGACAGGAAGCTGCACCCTGGTGGCCGAGAGTGGGCTGCCTCCCTATCTGTGATCAGCAGTGTGTGTCTCTCATTCAGCAAATATTTATTGAGTGCCTGCCATGTGCAGAGAGCACAACAGGTTGCGTCTTTCCTGAGAGGAGCATGTGTTCTGGTGGGGAAGAACACCAGAGAGCAGCTCAGCAGGGTGTGCCAGAGGCTGCTTCTGTGTGGAGAGCACAGCAAGGAGAGGGCCGTCCTGACACACTGCGAGGAGGGAAGCCATGAGGGGCTCGGGGGAGCGCAGGGCCTGGCCAACGGCACAGCCAGTGCAAAGACCCTGAGGTGGGCACACACTTGAGGGTGTCTGTGCCCAGCCAGGAGTCCAGTGTGTCTGGTACAGCATGTGCCAACAATGGAGCAGGGGATGTGGCGGGGACAGGTGCAGAGCAGTCCTGTGGGCCCTGGGAGCCACAGGAGGATTTGGGCGTCTGCCCAAGATGGGAGCCACTGAGGGAGAGATGAGGTCTGGCTTTTTTTTTTTTTTTAAACTTTGACATGGCAATTAGCTTCTTTTCTTTTGTTTCCTTTTTTTTTTTTGGAAATGGGGTCTCTGTCACCCAAGCTGGAATGCAGTGGTACAGTCTCAGCTCACTGCAACCTCTGCCACTTGGGCTCAAGAGATCCTCCCACCGCAGCCTCACAAGTAGCTGGGCCTACAGGCGTCACCACCGCACCCAGCTAATTTTTGTGTTTTTTGTAGAGACAGGGTTTTACTATGTTGGCCAAGTTTACTCCTGGGTTCAAGCAATCCACCCACCTCAGCCTCTCAAATTCTGGGATTACAGGCCAGTCTGCTTTGTTTCTTTGTTAATTGGAACTATTCCCTGTGGATGAAAGTGGAGAGAGGAAGTGTGATGTGCCTTCCCTGTGCCCATCACAGACTCCAGCCCCGCCCCAGCTAGTTTTTTTAATTTTCATTTTTATAGAGATGAGGTCTCCCTAAGGGCCCAAGTCCCTGCTGGGTGGGGACTTACAGGCAGAGAGACAGTAACCAAGGCTTGGGAGGCCAAGGTGAGCAGATGGCTTGAGGTCAGTTCCAGACCAGCCTGGCCAACATGGTGAAACCCTGTCTCTACTAAAAATCCAAAAATTAGCCATACATGGTGACGCATGCATGCCTATAGTCCCAGTTACTTGGGAGTCTGAGGCAGGAGAATCGCTTAAACCCCGGAGGCAAAGGTTGCAGTGACCTGAGATCACACCACGGCACTCCAACCTAGGTAACAGAGCAAGACTCCATCTCAAAACAGAACGAAACAATCAAAAAAAAAGACAGTAGCCAGGCAAGGGGATGGGCGGTTCTGAAGGAAGATCTGAGCAGGGGTTGGCTGAGAATGTGGGTGAGAGGTGGTGCCGTCAGAACTGGAGCATGGGTTGTTTCTTGCTGAGGGCCAACTTCAGGAAGAGGAGGAGACTAGCATGGCGGTCAGCAGAGGTGTGCTGGAGGGTATGAGGAAGATGATGCAGGGACTGGGTCTTGCAGGATGAATAGAAGTTTCCTCATGGTATGGAGGGGCTTGAGGGGCTAAGCAGCTGTCTCCTTGGTTCCCTGCTCTGGCAGTTGACAGGGGGTTCTGCCTCCTCCCATCGCTGACTTTGGCTGCATTCTGTCCTGGCCTGGCCTGGCCTCTAGCACCCGCAGAGGTGACTGGCCTCTTCGTGTGTGCCTTCTCTCTAGGGAAGTACCACTGCCCAGTGCTGTTCACCGTGTTCACTAATAACACCCACATCGTGGCCGTGAGGACGACTGGCAATGTCTACGCCTACGAGGTGTGTCTTTGCTCCGGGGTCTGGAGACTGCGGTGGGGAGACCTCTGCTGTGTGTTCCCAGGATAGGTGGGCTGGGCTGGGCTGCGGGCATGGCCTGTCTTTGTGGGGTTTACAGTCACAGCCACAGGCACGGGCCTCTGCCAAAGCTCTGGCCACTGCTTTCAGCCAGTGGGGTGTACACCACTGTCTCTCTCGTTCCTCGCCTCTCAAATGGTGCCATGGTGCCAGTTCCGGGCCTCCCTACTTGCAGGCTTCTGTGCCAAGGCTTGAGGCAGGCATCGTAACACCGCTTCTTCCTGGCTGTAGGCAGTAGAACAGCTAAATATCAAGGCCAAGAACTTCCGGGACCTGCTGAGCGATGAGCCCTTCTCCCGGCAGGACATCATCACCCTCCAGGTGAGTGGCCCCTGCCCGCCTGCCCCAGCTGCCTTCAGTGTCCGCAGCCAGCCCAGGTCTCTGCAGGGGCCGCCTCCTCAGCCTCACTCTCACATCTCCTCCCTGATTCCTGACCCCCATGTCAGGGCCCCTCATATCTGTTCCCAAAGCCACCTGAGGCATCTGAATGGCCATTCTGCTGGCCTGGTTCTGCTCCAGTGCCTTGAGGGCTGGAACTGTGGTGAGCTCTGGGCCTTGGTGTCTGGCACAGACCTCCCTGCAGATGTCAGAGAACCCCAAGTGAATTAATGAAAAACACAACTTAGAAAAAATCAGGTGATGGCTGGGGTGTGACCTGGGGCAGCCTGCTCAGTCAGTCACCTCTGTGGCTTGTCCCATTCTAACCAGATGTCAGCCCCACGGCTGCCCATGTTCCCATCCAGTAGCTTCCTAACAGCGACCAACAGCTCATTAGAGTGTGCCTGGAGGAAGGTTGCAGCTCGGCCAGCATCTAGCGAGGCTGTGCCCCCGCCCCCGCTCCTGCTTGCTGCCCTGCCTGGGACAGACCACCATCCTCCCCCATGCCCTGCTTGACTCCCCCCACCTCTGACACCTGCCCGTCCTTTGCTACATGTGGCTGCCATTTGGCCGCAGGCTGGGTTCACTCTGCTGGGTGTTCTCTCTTTGCCACAGGACCCCACCAACTTGGACAAGTTCAATGTCTCTAACTTCTATCATGTTAAGAATAACATGAAAATAATAGACCCAGGTATGTACAACCAGGGGCTGGGCTAGTTGAGGAGGCGTTTGGGGAAAATTGGGACAGTGTTCCCTGGGCAAAGCCCCCAGCTTCCTGGGGGTCAGGGTTTCCAGCTCAGATAAACCCTGCGTTTTCTAAGCCAGTGTTGAGAGAATCTGAGTCAACTGCAGCCTCAGAAACAACATGTGGGGTAGACTTGCTGCCCTGGCAGGATGCCTGCTCAGGTTCCCCTGCTTTCTGCACTGTCTGGTGCCTCCAGTGGGCAGGTGGTGGTGACGGGGTTCTCCTGTTTTCCTAGCCACTGGTGGCTGTCCTTTAGCCTCGGAGGAGCCAACAGGACTAATGCTCAGAGGTCACTTGGCCTCGTGCTGCAGAGCAGTGGCCTGGGTACTTGATGAGAGTTGTGTGAACTGGGTTTTAGGGAGGCTGAGCACATGACTGGGGGAGATTGAGTCAGAAGAGTCTGAGGTCAGGGTTTGGGGCTGGGCTGGGCCTGTGTTCTCTGGACGGGAATGCTTGACCCTATCCACAGAGCAGGCTGCTGTCCATGGCCCAGTAGGCAGGAGGCACCCTCTTGAGTGGGCAAGAATGGGGCATTTCACATCTGAAAAGACCCACAAACACTTATGTTGTTTTAATTAAAAATAACTTTTTTTTTTGAGACAGAGTGTTGCCCTGTCGCCCAGGCTGGAGTGCAGTGGTGCAGTCTTGGCTCGCTGCAGCCTCTGCCTCCCGTGTTCAAATGATTCTCCTGCCTTACCCTCTCAAGTAGCTGGGACTACAGTCAGGTGCCACCAGACCCAGCTCTTTTTTTGTATTTTCAGTAGAGACAGGATTTCACTGTGTTAGCCAGGCTGGTTTAGATCTCCTGACCTGGTGATCTGCCTGCCTCAACCTCCCAAGGTGCTGGGAATACTGGCGTGAGCCACTGCAACCGGCCACAAAATATCTTTTAAAATTACAAAAGTGTGACCGGGCGCGGTGGCTCACGCCTGTAATCCAAGCACTTTGGAGGCCAAGGCAGGCGGATCACCTGCGGTTGGGAGTTCAAGACCAGCCTGACCAACATCGTGAAACCCTGTCTTTTTAAAAAAAAAAAAAAAAATTACAGAAGCAAAGCAGGTGGGCACTATGGCTCACGCCTGTAATCCCAGCACTTTGGGAGACCAAAGCAGGTGGATCGCTTGAGCTCAAGATTTTGAGTCCAGCCTGGGCAACATAGGGAAACTCTGTCTCTACAAAAAATAGAAAAATTAGCTGGATGCCGTTGGCACGGGCCTGTAGCCTCAGCTACTCGAGGGGCTGAGGCAGGGGAATCACTTGAGCCAAGGAGGTGGAGGCTGTACTAAGTTCCACCCACTTTTTTGAGATCTTGTAACTGAATTCCAGCCAGGGCGACAGAGCCAGACCCTGTCTCAAAAAACAAAAAAAGCAAAGCATATACTCTAAAAATATTAGAATATACAGATAAATATAAAAAGGAAACTTCAGGCCGGGTGCGGTGGCTCAAGCCTGTAATCCCAGCACTTTGGGAGGCCAAGGCGGGCGGATCACGAGGTCAAGAGATCGAGACCATCCTGGTCAACATGGTGAAACCCCGTCTCTACTAAAAATACAAAAAATTAGCTGGGCATGGTGGCGCATGCCTGTAATCCCAGCTACTCAGGAGGCTGAGGCAGGAGAATTGCCTGAACCCAGGAGGCGGAGGTTGCGGTGAGCCGAGATCGCGCCATTGCACTCCAGCCTGGGTAACATGAGTGAAACTCCGTCTCAAAAAAAAAAATAAATAAAAAGGAAACTTCAAATCAGCCTTAAGTACATCCTGAGACCCTTGTGAACTGCGTGGGGAGACCTTCAGGCCTGTAGCTGGCACCTTGGCATTCTGTGGCTGACAGTGACACGGGGCCCATGCTGTGGCTGGCGAGCCCTGGCCTGTTCTGGATCTGTGTCCCCAGCACCCGTGTGGGGAGGCTGGTGGGGGCTCCACCGCTCAGGGCCATGCTACTGTTTTGTAGATGAGGAGAAAGCCAAACAGGACCCATCTTATTATCTGAAAAACACAAATGCCGAGACCCGAGAGACCCTGCAGGAGCTCTATAAGGAGTTCAAAGGGGATGAGATTCTGGCAGCAACCATGAAGGTCCCAGAGAAGAAGAAAGTGGACAAGCTGAATGCTGTGAGTGGCACAGGGCACTCAGCCAAGCCCTTGTCTCCTTGCTCATCTCATGGCCTCTTGGAGTGGTCCTGGGAACAGGGCTCATGGGGCCCTGGGGTATTATGGCAGGGAGGCAACCAGGATCCCCCCCAGAGCTGTGGTACCCCTGATGGCACTGAGTGTAGAGCCCTGGGGCTGCCCCAAGGAAGATTGAATCTGAGAAGGCGGACGGGGAGGGGCTGACGTCCATACTGGGCATTGAAGAACCAAGGGTGTGTGGAGGCACACAGGGGAAGAGACCCCCGCCACAGAAGCTCTGCCTTGTGCTGTGGTCCCAGTCTGAGCTCAGCAGCCAGAGCAGGCACGTTGAGTGGACACGTGGTTCTGTGGTGGCTGGGAGGGCAGGGCCCAATTGCACTGGGGCCCAAAGCCATGCCAGGGACAGTTGGGGTGTTTCAGGGACTGCTGTGTTTCTGAGGGGGACGGCATGCCTGGGACCTCACAGTGCTGCCTGGATGGGGCTGTCGTGTTCGTTTCTTGCTCCTGTTCAGGCAGAACGTGGGGATCTGGAGCTCGCGAGTGCAGAGACATAGGCAGGTGGCTCTGAAGTTCTCTTTCTTCAAATTCTGGAAAAATTGAAAAAAAGTTTGTCTGTGATCATCCCCTCTAACACACTGCCCTTAGCACTTTGGCATATTACCTTTTTTTTTTTTCTTCTTTTTTGAGACAGGATCTTGCTGTGTTGCCTAAGCTGGTCTTGAATTCCTAACTTCACCTGAGATCCTCCTGCCTGGGCCTCCCAAAGTGCTGGGATTATAGGTGTGAGCCACTGTGCCTGGCTTGTATTTTCTTCTCATGGAAGAAACCCCTTTTTCTTCCTGTCATTGATAAAACAACATTTATTGGGACTTTTCCCCCCAACCCCTGATTAAAAATGTAATGTGTTTACTTCAGAGAGTTTGAGTTCCCCTCCCCTTTTATTTATTTATTTATTTATTTATTTTTGAGACGGAGTCTCGCTCTGTTGCCCAGGATGGAGTGGAGTGCAGTGGTGGCGCGATCTTGGCTCACTGCAACCTCCACCCACCGAGTTCAAGCGATTCTCCTGCCTCAGCCTCCCGAGTAGCTGGGACTATAGGCGCTCGCAACCACGCGGAGCTCATTTTTTTTGTATCTTCAGTAGAGACGGAGTTTCACCATCTTGGCCAGGATAGTCTTGAACTCCTGACCTCATGATCCACCGCCTCGGCCTCCCAAAGTGCTGGGATTACAGGTGTGAGCCACCGCGCCCGGCCAGTTTGAGACTTTTAAAAAGAAGTTAGGCCAGGCCCGGTGCGGTAGCTGATGCCTGTAATCCTAGCACTTTGGGAGGCCGAGGTGGGTGGGTCACCTGAGGTTGGGAGTTTAAAACCAGCCTGACCAACATGGAGAAACCCTGTCCCTACAGAAAATACAAAATTAGCAGGGCGTGGTGGCACATACCTGTAATCCCAGCTACTCGGGAGGTTGAGGCAGGAGAGTTGCTTAAACCTGGGAAGCAGAGGTTGCTGTGAGCAGAGATGGCACCATTGCATCCAGTCTGGGCAACAAGAGCGAAACTCCGTCTCAAAAATTAATAATAAAGAAGCAAGTCCAGGCGTGGTGGCTGAGGCCTGTAACCCCAGTATTTTGGGAGGCTGATGCAGGAGGATTGCTTGAGGCCAGGAGTTCAAGACTAGCTTGGACAACATAGTGGTACCTTACCTCTACAAAAAACCCAAAAAATCAGCCAGGCGTGATGGCACATGCCTGTCGTCCCAGTTACTTAGGGGACTGAGGTGTAGGAGGGTCAATTGAGCCCAGGATTTGGAGGCTGCAGTGTGCCAGGATCGCACCCCTGCACTCCAGCCTGGGTATACAGCAAGAGCTTGTCTCATAAAAAAATTAAAAAGAAATGAGAAGTCACTTGTACACTCCTAACCCTGAGGTCCTGTGTGGTATTTTATCTACATGGTTTCACTTACGTCCTAAGAGTCGGGACCGGGTTGAGGCCAGGGGCCCCTGGCTTGGCCTATCCTTGGCTTCTTCCTTCTGCCAGTCAGGGAGACCCTCCTGGAGGAGAGGCACTGAGCAGGGCCTGGGGGGCAGGGGTGGTGTGTGGTTGGCTTCTAGGCAGGCACCACATCTCTGCCCACCAGCCTCCCATGGCACTGCTGAGGTGCCACCCTGGTTTCCTTGGCAGGCCCACTATTCCACAGGGAAGGTCAGCGCTTCCTTCACGTCCACTGCGATGGTTCCAGAGACCACACACGAAGCAGGTAGCCGCCTTTGCCTCTGTAGAAACCTACCATGTGACCTGACAGTGGCAGAGGGGTGGGCGCCCTCCCCTGATTCCCACTCTTTTGGTCTGTCAGGGGCTCCCACGGACACCTGAGTCTCCAGTCCTCCCCCTCTTAGCTGCTGAGCCCCTGCCAGGCCCATGAGGCTGGGCTGTGCATGGCCCAAGCAGAAGACTCTCGGTCTCTGGCTCCCGTGCTCTTTCCAGAGTTGGAGTCTAGTCCTCGGCCAGATGCCTCTGTGTCTTTGGCTGGTGCTGCCTGGCATGGTGGGGCGCCCCCAGGGCTAGGGCAGGGGCTGAGCTCGGACCTCTGCTTGTAGCTGCCATTGACGAGGACGTGCTCCGCTACCAGTTTGTGAGGAAGAAGGGCTATGTGCGGCTACACACCAACAGGGGCGATCTCAACCTGGAGCTGCACTGCGACCTGGTGGGTGTGGTGGCTCCCTCCCTCCCTGTGCCCTGAGGTCATTTCTGGGGTCATTTGACAGCCATGTCTTAAATTTAGGGCTGCCACTGGTATGTGCTTGTAAAGAAACCTCAGCCTGTCACTAGGCGGGACCCACAGCGGTGCCCTGTGTCCTTCCTAGTGGGCCATGTTGCCCTGTGCACAGGTGCCAGTGTCCCAGAGAGGGGACCAGGCTGCACTCGCTGCTCTGCCTGCACTTCTCCCATGCGCTCTGCTCTGGGCCATGTGGCTTCACGGGTTCTGTTGCTTGGTGTTGTGGGTCCATCCTTGCCCCGTGTGGCCGGGCAGCTGACTCTGCTGGATGTTAAAGGCCTCCTGGCTGGGCATGGTGGCTCATGCCTGCAATCCCAGCACTTTAGGAGGTCAACGTATGTGGATCACCTGAGCTTAGGAGTTCGAGACCAGCCTGGCCAACATGGTAAAAGCCCATCTCTACTAAAAATGCAAAAATTAACCAGGCCTGGTGGCGCACTCCTGTAGTCTTGGCTAGAGTGGGAGGCTGAGGCAGGAGAATCACATGAACCTGGGAGGTGGAGGTTGCAGTGAGCCGAGATCACACCACTGCACTCCAGCCTGGGTGACAAAGCAAGACTCCCTCTCAAAAAAAAAAAGGCCGCCTGTGGCTGTGGTGAGCTGCCTTTGGCCGCTCTCTGCTTCATACATGTATCGGGACTATGTTGCAGACACCGAAAACCTGCGAAAACTTCATCAGGCTTTGCAAAAAGCATTATTATGATGGCACCATCTTCCACAGATCCATCCGGAACTTCGTGGTGAGTGATGCGAGTCACTGGCTGCACAGATGTGCTTGGTGGGACATCAGGGTCTGGGTAGGCTTGTCCCTGCCCTGTCCCAGGGCCCTGAGACCACGGTGGCCAGGTTGAGTTGAGTTGGTGATCCTCTGTTGGGGAACAGAACTGGGTTCACACAGGGAGGTGGCTGGGAGGGCCCCTCATCCTTGCCAAGAGCCCAGTCCCTGTGAGGAGCCATCTGGCAGGAGGGGTCTCCTTCAGTCGGGCAGGTGGTGGGCTCAGGTCTCGCGGTGTGACTTGCGCGTTGGCTTTTGTTCTCACAGATCCAAGGGGGCGACCCCACAGGCACAGGCACAGGTAGGTATTGGTGCTGGGCCCCTCTCTGGGCACGTTGGCTGCTCCTTGGGGCATGAGGGTGTAGCTGTACATGGGCTGTGCCGAGCTTGGACGTGGAATCTGCTAGACCAGGGTGGAACGACTGGCGGCTATCAGTGCTGTGCCCTCTCAGGCCTGGCCCTTGGTTTTCTCATTTCCAGGTGGCTGTGAGGCCTGCATAGTAGAGGATGCAGGCATGTGTGGCATCCTCTCTGGGCCCCTGGGGGCCAGCCCTCCCTCCTGCAGCCTCTTCAAGCCCCTCAGCGTGCAGCTGCTTGGGCCCAGGCCCCCCCATCTCCATACTCCCATAGCACGAGTGATGATGATGGTTGCCTTGACTCTTTAATCCCTGTCCTGGGGCAGGCCCCATTCACCTGGGGTGAGTGGGTAGCAGCCTGCCTGTGTGGAGGCACGGGGGCTCCGAGGGGCCCTGGAGTTGGTGATGTGGGGCTGGGGACCACCTTATCAAGTGCCTCTGCCCCTTGCTGGGCTCAGTAAGGCCCTGATGCCCCTCAGGACTCTGAGGTTTCTGGTTCTGCCTCGGCTGGGGCCGAGGCCTTCCTGTTCCTGTGGGTCTTTCTCTTCCAGGCGGGGAGTCGTACTGGGGGAAGCCCTTCAAAGATGAGTTCCGGCCCAACCTCTCGCACACGGGCCGTGGCATCCTCAGTATGGCCAACTCAGGACCCAACAGCAACAAGTCTCAATTGTGAGTTGGCCGGGCTGACTGGGGCGGCCTGGGAGGTGACCTGGTGCTCTCTGCGGGTGCTTCCTCATACCCCTCCCTGAAGGGTGTGCTGGTTCTGAATCACACCCAGACAGTGTACGGCACACCTAGGCCGAACATGCGCAACTGCATTCAAAAGGGGGGACCCCAGAGTGAGTCAAGGAGAGCTGCCAGCAGCGGGGTGTGCCCCGAGAGACCAGAGGTGATGAATTACTGGAGGTCCAGAAGGGCCTCTTGATAGAGACCAAGGGTGCGTATGGTGCCTGTAGCCAGGCAGTGCTGGGGGAGGTCAGCGTCTTAGAGCAGCATGTGGGAGGGGTTGTACACAGGCTGGACAGGGAGAGGCAGCTGGACAGACAGGAGGTCTGGGGAGTGCATGGCCCTTGTGCATGTGGGGAGCATTGTGCAGGCTGGTGGCAGGCAGCAGGGGATGGGGGGCCCGCAGGGCCGTGTGCGCAGGGGCCAGGCGCATGTATTGTGGAAGAACAGAGGGCCCCTTTCCATCCACCTGCCACCCAAAACAGTGGCCTGACTTTTCCTCTAGATATGTTTCAGTCTTTTAATGAGATTTCATTGTTTTTCACATGGGTCTTATGACTTCCGGCATACAGTGACTTAAGGTTTTTTTATGATTTGTGATATTTTTGTAAGTGGATTTTTTTCCCCCAAGTTTTGGGGATCACTGCTCATGTAGGAAAAAAACTACCATTCATTTTATATTTAGCCACTTTATCAAATTCTCTTATAATTCAAATAGCTTTTATTAAGAGTTTTTTGGGTTTTCTAGATATTCACACTTATCAGCAAAAGCTGGCCTCCTCTCTGCTTCCCTGGGGTGCACATTAGTCATGCCACTGTCACCGTGGGCCTGATGCAGAGGAGGAAGTGGGCGTCCTGGTGTGATCTACAGGGAATCGCTGTTGTGCCTTCATTTGTTGTTGGGCTATTTTTTAGGAGGGTGGCTGACTTTCTAGAGTCTTCTTTCTTAGCATCTGTTAGGATGATCCTGTGGTTTTCTGGACCTCCTGTGATTTGTGGATGTGGCCACCACAAGGCCAGAGTGGATTGGTGTTTTTATGGCATTCTGGAGGTGAACCCTGGTCTGTCGTGGCTTCCCTGTGGCCTTCTGCCCTGTCATACGTGGTCTCGGTTGTGTGGATTGGCTCCAGCAGGTTTTGCTGTGACAGGTGTGGCCCCTGCATGTTGTGAGCAGGGCTGGCTGTGTCTTTGTGGTCTGGAATGGTTAAAATCACAGGGGTGGCTGGGCGTGGTGGCTCACACCTGTAATCCCAGCACTTGGGGAGGCTGAGGTAGGTCGATTGCCTGAGCCCAGGAATTCAAGACCAGCCTGGGCAACATGGCAAAACCCCATCTCTACAAAAAAATTTAAAAAATTAGCAGGGTGTGGTGGCATGCACCTGTAGTCCCAGCTGCTTGGGAGGGTGAGGTGGGGGGATCGTCTGAACCAGGGAAGTCAATCTGCAGTGAGCTGGGATTGCATCACTGCACTCCATCCTGGGCAGCAGTGAGACCCTGTATGGGCGGAAAAAAAAATCACACTGGAGTCAGCTGTGGTTAACAGGAGGCCAAAGGCAGCTGGCAGCCATTTGTGCCACTTCCTCGGGCTTTGGTTTCAGGGTTAAGGGGTACTCATTTCCACGAAGTCTGGTATTCTCTTGGCCTCTCTATGCTCACTTTTTGTTTCTTATTCCTAATCACGCTTTCCATTCCTCAGTTCCTTAATGATCTTTGAAGGGTTTGTCTGTTTTTACTTCCTGTGTCATTATTTTCAGTTTCTGTCTTTGCTTCTTCATGGTGCTTTTCTTCCTTCTCCACTTTAATCCATGTCTGGTTCTGACAGCCGCATCTGTCATTTTGAGGACGTATGTTTTCTTCTTCACTGATCTTGCTAGTTGTTGCTAGCTACTCTTTCAATTTCTTTTTAGCCAAGGATTGCTTAGGACTGTTGGTTATTTATTTATTTATTTATTTATTTATTTAGAGACGGAGTTTCACTCTTGTTACCCAGGCTGGGGTGCAATGGCGCGATCTCGGCTCACCGCAACCTCCGCCTCCCGGGTTCAGGCAATTCTCCTGCCTCAGCCTCCTGAGTAGCTGGGATTACAGGCACGTGCCACCATGCCCAGCTAATTTGTTGTATTTTTAGTAGAGACGGGGTTTCACCATGTTGACCAGGATGGTCTCGATCTCTTGACCTCGTGATCCACCCGCCTCGGCCTCCCAAAGTGCTGGGATTACAGGCTTGAGCCACCGCGCCCGGCGGTTATTTTCAAGTAGGCTGGTTTTTGTTGTTTGGCAGGGGCTGGGGTTGGGGAGTAATTTCATTATTTTTTATTTCTCTTTGGCTTAACCGGCCAGTGAAACTACTGACAGATCAGTCGCCACCTTCTTTTTTTTTTTTGAGACAGTTTCACTCTGGTTGCCCAGGTTGGAGTGCAATGGTGCGATCTTGACTCATTGTAACCTCTGCCTCCCAAGTTCAAGCGATTTTCCTGCCTCAACCTCCTGAATGGCTGGGATCACAGGTGCTCGCCATAATGCCTGCCTAAGTTTTTGTATTTTTAGTAGACAGGCTTTCACCATGTTGGCCAGGCTGGTCTGGAACTCCTGACCTCAGGTGATCCACCACCTCGGCCTCCCGGAGTACTGACATTACAGGCGTCAGCCACCGCGCCTGGCGTTCTCTTATTTCTAGTATTATTTTGTGCTTTGCCAAAGGTTTGCCTGTTTACTATATTCAAAGACCATTAGATTTTAATTTCTGTTACAGCTTTGTTTTCCCTTTGATGATTCTTGTAATTACAGATTTTCCTGGAGGAGCTTGCCTCTGGATGGTTCTTTTCTTCCCTCCTGAGTTTAATTCTGCTTCTAGTTTCCTTCACTGTGTTAGAAATCGGTGAGCAACAGAACCATTTGCAGGTCAGCGCTCCGGTCTGCACTGCTGTGGGTGTGATGTCTGCGGACACTTGTCTGGTGGCTCTAGGTGTGGTCAGATTTGGTGGGCTCAGGAGTGTGTCCTTGTGTGGCTGGGGAGTGCGTGTTTGATGCAGTGGGATTACGTCCTGTGTCTGTCACCAGTGGAGTCTCTGTGGGCTGTGCCAGCCTGCACTACCCTAGGGAGTACTCTGTGTGATCAGTGCCAGGACCCACCCGGTGTCTTCCATCATTTTTCTTTTTTTCTTTTAATATATTTTTCTTTCAGCCTCTCTAGCTCTTCCCTCTGAGGGCTTTTTGAAGGCTCATAGCTGGGGAGTCTGTCGAGTTCTCATTCATCCCAACAGTCTTTTTTTTTTTT